CGAGGTTTCTGCTGCTCGATTCTCTGAACTCTCGAGACCACTGTGCTCTGGGGTATGTTGGTGGCATTTTTCAAGGAGAAACAGGCCAGAAATAGCCCATTGCTAAAAGTAAAGAGAAAGTAAAATAAAAGTAAAGATAAAGTAAAGTAAAAATAAAGGCCAGGAACCACGAAGCCTGTGGAAACCATATTTGACCAAGAAATCTACCCCATGTTTTCGAAGTGAGAACCTGTAAGTGAAATGAAGGGGGGGGGACCCCATGCAACTGAAATGATAACAATTTGCCTAGAGATGCAGAGCTCATCCCCCAGATTTTTAGCTCCATTTCCCAGCTTCCCTTCCTGACTGTTAAGGAAGCACGAGGAAGTTCATCCTAGAGAGAAAAGCAGCACTGTGGACTGCCCGAGGTGCTCATTCCCCATAGGGACAATCCCTTGCCATGTTCTTTCTTGACAACGGCCTTGCAAAACCCTTGTTTGGGGCTCAGGTCATGCCTAAATGAGAGAAATGCGATAAATGACAAGTCCAAAGAGAAATTACAGTGCGCGGTATTGTCAGCTCTTCTTAACTTGGTTAAATTCAGAACGTGGATGAGTATTTAGTGGTCTTTTTAACGCAATAGCTGTTTTTCAGCATTACTCATCTCTCTGAGTGGTTGCTGTAGCTACAGCATAACCCTGTGAATTGGCAGAGAGGGAGTCGTGTGTTCTACCACGTTCCCTGGCCCCTATGAAATATTTCATGAACGTTTGTATGCCCTAAAGAAGGTGCTATCTGGAAAGATCTATGAATGTTTACGCAGAAAATTCCATTACTAATCCCAAATGGAGATTATCAACTTTAAGCTTCTGGATTTATCTTGTTTAAATGCATTCCTATACCCTCAGATAGCTTATCAGCCAAATGAACGTTCGATTTGTGCTTGAATCCTGCGTTTTGATCGTCAGTCACATCATGCGTGAGAAGGCAATCCATAAAATAAATCTCAGTAGTAGTTCAGAAGTACAGATTTTAGGTCATGTATTTATACGGGTGCCGGCTGTTGTAAACCATATTTGACACTAGGGGAAGTTTGTTTATGGAGTCAGTACACTGGAAAATCAACAAGGTCAGAGTTGCTCTGGCTCCGAGATTTGGGATGAGTCAGGTTTGACATTTCCAGTTGAAAAAGAGCTTGGAATGTAGAACCCAGTTCGGAATATACTTGATAGATGGTTTTGGGAGGGACCGATTCGGTTTCTGAATTGACATGCAGTGTTAAAGCTAAGAACAGCTTGCCTGAATTCAGAAAAATGACTAATACAGAGAAAACCTGAACTTATTTGGGAGGAAGGAATCAGTGTAGGACATGAGCACTCAACGCTATAAGTATCCTGTGTGGAAAACAAGGAAAGGGGTATTGGGTGGTTGGCAATGAATATATTACTAGTGCAAAACCACCATGGAAATCACTCGGCTTATAAATTAATCAGGAGCTAAGAGGTGAAATAAGAAGAAATATTAATTTTAGATCTCATTCCTCCCACTGTTCCTGACTGTTGAATGGGTTGTCACATCGCAGACAGGATGCGATTGCCATGGAGATGGATACGAGAACTTTTCCTGGAATTCAGATTCTGCTGGGTTAATATTTCTTTTCTGTGCTTCCATGAAAAGAAATGATTATCTAAACACTAGTTGTGAAGGATGTATTAATAATAAATCTCTTTATGTAGGGTGATTTTTGTGTTGTTCCTATTACACTTTATACTGGGAACTGGGTCTAAGGGCCTTCCCTGGAGCTTACAGAGGGAAGCTGTAGTAGATCAAGGGCCTGATCATCACCCATCAGAGCTTAGGCCAGTGCTTGTAGGGTGATCATTCGTGTCTTATTCCTTCTTGTAACAGTTATGTACCCTGCCTTTTTATGTAAGGACTGTGAAAATAGTTCAGATGTACGGTCTTTAGGAAGCTGCAATGCCTGCAATTTGTATTGTTAGTCTTCAGGTGAAAATTGCTCTTTTCCTTATACTTTACATGCTATAACTATATATCAAAAGGTTTCCTCAGCCTCGGGGATGGATGGCCTCTGCTTTTAACAGCTGTTAAAATGTCTGTTAAGCTAGGGAATTTAATATAGATAATTCTTCAGGAGATCTGCACAGTGATCTAAAGTAGTATGACCCTCTTAGACAGAATAAGATGAAAGACACTTCTAACACCTTCACTTTTTCCACTGCAAGTTCTATTTCTATAGCTGAGCTTTTGTAGCTGTGTCCAAAAGCTGATGTTGTCAGAGCTTTCAGATTCTCCATCCCAGTCCTTCACTGTCAGGTTTGGAATACTGCAAGAACTTGGTGCCCCAAGCCTCAGTCAAGACGCCTACAAGTAATCCTGGTCTGTGACATGTCATTTGCTGACTGGTTGCAACTTGCATATGTAGTGGAAGGGGTTAACGGTGGTCCCTGTGCCAGAGGGAATGCAGAAACTGTTCCTTCCTGGGATATACCAGGCATGTGAATTGTATTAATGGGCAAGAAGGAGATCCCTCGCTCTCCTTTTCCCCTGCCCTGCAGAGCTGATTATTGCCAGTGGTGCCGGAAAGAAGGATTGCATTGGGAGACAGACTCTCTCCTGGGACTAAGGAGATTGACAAAGATTTTCCTTTGTTTCTGGAAGCTCAACAGGCTGATGGCTGAGGTAAGCAGTGCTTGTGCTGAAGGGTGGAGGAGGAACAGCTGCCAGTGCAGAAAAATACAGAACCTGTGTGGATTGCCAAATTCCAGAAGGATTCTAGCAAAGCCAAGCCACAGAAGGATAGAGATGAAAACCTGTTGTGCTCAGTGGCATGTCCCACTGATTACTGCTGAGGGTAGAGCACTAGGCCTAAAATAGCAAAGGTTTTGTCTTTAGCCAAGTTCTGCATCATTCTGACCCTTGCACCTCCGTACCCACTCTGAGAGCCTTTTTGCTCCGCTCAGAACTCGAACACCGCTCCCTGCTATTCCTGGAGCAGAGCTTCATCCAGCTCACCATCAAAGGCAGGAAATTATGAGGCAGAATTGCTGCCAGCAGCCCGGACCTGGTTGCTGCAAGTCTGGAAGCGAGGATCTCCTCTTCTGTGAATGAACAGTTCCAACTTCCCCACCTGCCAACAAGAAGACCTTGTATTCCTAGATCAGCAGATCCGGACTCTGTTGAGAGCTGGAGAGATGAGCTTGCTGGCATGCTTGCTCTTGGTGTTCTTGCATAGGTTGAGCACTGTATCTCACAGACCCTTGGTGGTTCATTATTGCAGAGGAAAGGAGGGAGTTACTGCAACTCTTAGTGAAAACAGTAGTAGTTCAGTTCTCACCTTTATGAATCTTATTGAAACTGGGCTTGTGGTTGGTTGTTTTCATGAAAGCTGAAGGGATCATTGGGCTGAATTCTCCTTATCATAGTCAGAACGATGACTGTGATTTCAAGGTTATGTTTCATACATGTACTCATCACTTGTTGATTATAGATGAAGGAATGTACTTCAGCGTGCTGAAAATTTGCTTGTGTTCAAGTAGAAGGAGGATAGTTGTTACTTCAGGTATTGACATTTCTTTCTCATCTAGAAATTCCACCGGGATCTAAAGCCTGTCTGAAGTAATGGATGATGACTGTTTCTGTGACAAACTGGCTTTTGCTTTTCACATGCTTGCCACCACAATGATTTTTGTTATTTGTACCTTCTTCCTCTGTGTGTCACACTTTAGCCCCAAGTTATCTGTGTAGATCTACAAATAAGTAGGGCCATTAATCATATTCTTTCTGTTGACAACAATCTGTGCTTATGAGCCATCGCCCCTAGTTGTTCTGCAGGTGGGTTTTGGGGGTTTTGTTGGGTTTTGGTTTTGTAACCAGTGCTGTGTGTAGAACTGTTCAGACCTATTGTGGTCTCATGTCCTGCTAGGTCAAAGGGTTAGGAAAACCTTGCATGGAATCAAATCTGATGGCATTATTTCTTGTATAGTTTGTACACTAATAAGACTTTCAGTTTGCTGCTCTTCATTCCTGTCTATCCCAGTGTGATATACCTAGCAATAAGCTTTACTGGAAGAGCTTTGCCTTTAAGTCCCACAGTGAATCAAAGTCGGAACACAGTGGTCAGTATTAGACCCTTCTGCTCCTTATGATAACACCTACTTCCGTGTCATGGGTTTAGATAGATGCATGCTTAAGGCTGGGCTTTGGCTAATAAATCTCAACGCCATAACTATCATAAGTAAATAAAAGGTCGTGTTTTCTTGCACATCTTAGAGGGGATATTTTGCATTCAAAATCTGTACTTTTCCATTTCTTTCTTTTCTTTTTTGCCAACCGAAATGCGAACGATCTGTAGACATGAGAACCAAAATGAATACATTTTGGTGTCATGAATGTGAAAGAGGCCATGCTTAACATTAAACTATCAGTGGTGACACTTTGCTCAAGCGTCGGGAACAAAGCTAAAGCCAGACTTCATAAACTGAGCTGGCAAAATATGCATCAACCCCTGTTAACCACCTCCTGGCAAACCAGTCCTCGGATGCGAGCAGGAACTCTGTTGTGATTCGCCCCCATAGACCCCATGGTTCAAAACTGAGAACCCTGGGAAGTGCTGGGTGCCACTGAAAGCCCTGTGGGAACTGATATGTTCAGTGTTTTCCAGGACGAGGCCTTTGCTTTGGTCCACATCTTGTGTGTTGTGTTATCTGCTGTTGTGGAACCAACAGATTTCATTCTCCTTCCCCTCATTCTGGAAACTACTTGATGTTGATTCCAAGTCCTGGTTATAGAAGTTTACTCTCTTTTAATGCAAATAAAGTAAAACAAGCCATAACACATGTTTCCCTCATAAGAAGATTAACATTTGGTTCACTGACGTTATCATTTTGTGCTGGTTTGGTCTTGCTTCTGTAAGATGCAATAGCCATCTCTGTAACACCAGTATGTTTGACTTGCTGTAACCTGATGTACCATTTCTCTCCCCTTTTTTCTCCTTCCCTAAGATTATCGTTGGAGAAACTGCAGTGTTTTGTCTACAGTTAGCTACAAAGGATTTTGAAAACCAAGAGAAAACAATATTAACTGGAGACTGTTGTTATATAAACCCACTGGTGCGCAGGACCATCAGATTCCTTGGTATGAGCAAAATTAATGCTTTCCTTATTATGATTATTATGATTGATTATGTCTTCGTTTTGACCCAGGGGAAATGTTCACATAGCCACACACCACTTCACATGTAGTCTTAACTCGCGTGCAGCAAGTTCTCTCCTTTTGGGTAGCAACTGATGCTTCTTGCAACTGATGCTTCTTGGAAGTTGGGATAAAACCCAGTAGCAGAAGCAGCAGTAAAAACAGAAGGAATTGGGATCACAAGGAGGAAGAACAACCAGCAGGCCTGGAGAAGGGAGATATCCTTGTGCCGTATCTATAGTTGATAGCTTTCTTTTGGTTATGCACACATACAGCAGCCAAAGTTGAAGCCATGGGGACATTTGAAAGGTGGTTTAGGTACTTTCTTAGCCTAGAGATTGTTTTACAATCCCTAGTAGAAAACTGTGCAAAATCTGTGCTCCACTGACGTCAGCTGTAACTCTCCCATTGACCTTAGTAGATATGAGATATCTAGAGATGAGATTCAACTTAGTTCCTTGTAAATGTGTTCAGAGGGGGAAGTACCACTGCTCCAAATGGCTGTTGGATATTCCCAAATGCTGCTTTTCAGTGCGTGCAGGGCTGCCATAGAGGGCTCACTGATGTTGTTTGCTTCTCACTGATGGTTGTATCTGAGTGAAGCAGCTGGAGGAAGGAAGCCTTGGGGCAGCTATTCCTCCTGTGTGCCCCAGTCGCAGGGCAAAGGAGGGGATGTGCAGCTGTGTCTGTATTTGCAGTGTTTGTGTAACAGCTCAGCCTGCCTTTGGGAGCACCATTGCTTGCTGGAGTGCTAAAGTCATTCAGAATCAAACTGTCTTGCATAGGTCCAGAGGAGGTGGAGAGCGATGATGAGGAGCTCCTCCTGCTCCTGTGTGCAGTCAGTGCCCACATTTCCTTCCATTTTGGTGGGTTCTCCTTGCTCTGAGCACTGAGGCATCACCACCCATTCCACTCACACCAAGCGATGGATGTGACCTCCTATGGTGGGGCAGTGCTCACCCCCAGGGCTTGCTGAAAGGGCCCTTCTGTGCAGCCACTGGCTCAGCAGTGTCAAGCAGCTCAGAGCGGATTGATGTCAGTGTGACACTGCTGACCAGTGTCCCAGAGCTCATCCGTAGTCCTCTGGCTGTGCTGAGGCAAACAACTGGCCCCTACAAACCCACATGTTCCTGTGGGATCGTGTCTGCTGTGGTGCACCTCTTGAAAAAGCCCTCATGGTGCCCCGTGTAGTTGGGAATGGCCAGAACTCACACTATGAAGTGTGGTTTAAAGGTGAAGTGATTTGCCCATGGAAATCCAGGAGGAAATCTGTAGCTCAGGTTGAATTTGAGCGTGGAGCTGACAGCTTTGCCTTCCAGTCAGGATGCTGTGTTTGCATGTCCTTACAGAGCTCATTTTCTGCTTCCAAAGGGATAGGAAGGGACATCAGCATAGCAGAAATCTGTTTTCTTTTAAGTAATCAGATACAGGCATTTCCATGCTAATGACTGAGTACATGTGTTTAATGGCTTGCTGATACATCTCAGAATAAAACCCCTCTTTAGCATAAGTAGCTCCTCTGATATATAGATCTTCAGCTCCCTGTGCTGATCTTGTGATGAATATGCTGTGCATAGAGATGTACCCAGTAGCAGGCGAGATGAAGACAACTCATGCATGGCAATATTAAATTATTCAGTACTTCAGCTCCTTTACAGCTGCAGGGGAAGAGAAAATGATGTCCAGTCTGTGTTGTGACTGTTCAAGTTACTTCTCCATCACGGCCTGACTTCCTTGGGTCTGAAGCAGATTTATAGGGTGAAGAGTTTGCCTCTGTCACTCCTGTTTAGTGAACACGGGTAAAAGTTAGACACTGGTATGGTTGGCTGTTCTGAACTGTGGAGGTTCATGGCTATGGGGCCTAGGGAAGCAAGCTACTTGTGCAAGAGCTGAGCAAGCTCCTCTGAAGGGTGCAGAGACATCAGGTGTGTAGGTACGTTGCAGTGTTGTTGCTGTAGTTGTGTAGGTACATCAACACGAGCCAGGATCTTTAGGGTATGGTACACACGAGGGGTTTTCATGTTTTTAAATGGAAGGAGCTGGTATTTACCATGATAAATCCTATAATATGTTTACCCTGGTGTGAAGCTCTCGGTAACTTTAACTCTTTGTTTCCCTCCTCAGGAATTTACGCATTTGGACTGTTTGCTACGGACATCTTTGTAAACGCTGGACAAGTAGTAACAGGGAATCTTGCACCACATTTTCTTGCACTTTGTAAACCCAACTATACAGCACTTGGATGTAAACAGTACACACAGTTCATCAGTAGCGTACATGCCTGTACTGGAAATCCAGACCTTATCATGAAAGCCAGAAAGACATTCCCATCCAAAGAAGCAGCACTAAGTGTATATGCAGCTATGTACCTGGCTGTAAGTATATTGTACTGTTTTATGTCACTCTATTTGTTGAGAGCAAACAGCTCATGGGGTGAGGGGAGGAGGGGGGAACGGGGAGGAGATACGACAACTATTGGCTGATTTTATGTGTGCAAACCTTCTCCGAGCTACTGTGAGCCCTTGGAGAATTTAATTAGTTGGACTTCGTTCTGACCATCACACATTGAGTGGTTCTCTGAGCCTTGGCTCTTACTCTGCAATGAGGTGGGCTACAAGGCAATACAGCCCTTCTTCCCTCTCTTCTCTCTCATACATGGAGTGATGAGCAGGGCTGGGATGAAAGGTGTTTACTACCTGGTATTAGAGGTGGTTTAGAAGCTACTGAGAGGTGTGGGGAGGAAGAGAGAGATTACTCTGCCTGGCTTAGCTGGGAGTGCGTGTCATTCTAGTCTTAGGCAGAAGCACATCTTGTTCGTAGTGAACAGCACATGCCTATGGGAGTCTATTCCCTGACCTGTGCTTGCAATCACAGTCCTTTGTAGCTCTTTGGGTGGGCTGAGGGCTGCCCTCATAGGGTCAGTAGGAAATGACATGGTGTGTGTGTACGTCTGTGGCCAGGCTTATCCTCTCACCCAGTTCATAGAATCATGGACTGGTTTGGGTTGGA